CACCAGAGCGACACGACCGATTGGCACAAGAACTAATCACTTTATTAGTAGGTATAGATAGGCAAGGAATTTTTAAAAATACAAAAAACATTTATTTCTGACGTCTAAACATTCTTTCTTGCAGCATGTCAACACATTCTTTTCACATATATAACATTTAGAGAAAACCATGCCAATTTTATATATGTGTGAATGTTTGTTTTCACTTACTTCGTTCACCGGATATGTAATTGCAGTGAGATAAATATATTTTCCAAGTCTTATATATAAGAAATACCACTGTTTTACTTTTCTTTCCTTATTTTCCTATCTTTCCCCCCATTTTACTCTCGTATTTCATTTCCTTTTTCTTTGTTATTTTGGATCTAATACATGAATATTTTTATGACATGCATGAAAACTCTTTCTTCATACGCGATAAAACATGTACAAGCTATTCTACATACATACATTTACTAGAAGTAATAACATAACCCAGAAGGCCCATAAAGGATTTAATGCCCGGTTACACATGTCCACGTCGTGCAGCAAAAAAAGAAGTCATTTTTTCTTTAGTTTTCTATTTTCTCAATATTATTATTAGTAGACTTTTTTAATTTTATTTATTATTTACTGGTTACCTCTTATTTTTATATTGTGATACCTTTTTCTTATTATTTTTATCAATCATGAATATTTTTCAAAATACATGAACATTTATATGAAGGTTGCAACTTGTGTATGCCTAAGGTGTCCCTGGGGTACATCACGACACATGTACATAAAAGTCTGGATGAAGAAGAGGGAGAAGAAGGATTTGTTTTCTTAGACAACACCATCGACGGTGTCACACCAGTGTTCCTGGGACGCCCATGGGAGCCGTATGTCAAAGTCCTATTCTACACGGCGGTGATGTCAAATGTTGTTGTCAGTGCAGGATGGGGTCCGTGGAAGAATAAAAGCACATGAGTAATCCATCAAGTTGTTGAGGTAATAGCACCCCAGGTACCCTAACTTGCATAGAATGTGATGATTCAGTTCCAAATTTGTAAAACTTGACTCCACCATACCCTAACTTGCATAGAATGTGATGATTCAATCTCAAACTTGCAAAACTTGACTCCACCATACCCTAACTTGCACCTGGGGTGCTATTACCTCAACTGTGATGATTTAGTCCAGGCCAATCATAGCTCGACAATTGGCAGCCAGGTGGCTGGACCGGTCAGCGTATGCACTTTTCCAGAACTCTCCCTGCCTTTTTCCCTATTCAACCCACACTCTCTCCACCTGAATTAATTCTGTCGGAATGAATCCACCTCGCGTCCCTCAGCTCCAGCTCCATCTCCACGCCGACAACAAGCTCGCCGCCGCCGTCCAGCTTCAGCTCCGGCGTCATGGACTCCTGGTCGGACGGTTTGTTCTCGACATCGACATCCCGAGCAAGAAAGTGAAGGTGGTGGGCGACGTGACGCCGCTGGGCGTGCTCACCAGCGTCTCCAAGGTGAAGCCCACGCAGTACTGTCCGTCGCAGCCGTGCCCCCCGCGCGCCTCCGCTTCCTTCTGAACGCTCCAACCAGTGATCTCTCTGCTCTCTCTGAATCACAAGTAGATACGAGGTCCTAGCCACTGGCGGAGCTTCGTGAGGGCAAAAGTGTGTCATGGCCCGCCCAGCCGCTGAGGTAAAAATATAGCTATATACGTGCAGGCCAGCCCACGACAGCCTCGCTCGCATGCTGTCTCGCCTCGTCAGGCTTCTCTCCTTGCATCCAGCCTCAGTCGCCCTCCATGCTAGGGCACGAACCACACGTACAGCTGCACACAGGGACAGAGAGAGGTGGGGCGGAGCCGCAAATTAAGGTGCAACTGTCGGCCGCAGCGAGTAGCAGCGTAGAGCGATGAGGACTGCGGATGCTCCAGAGCGACTCATGCCGCGGTAGCTTGGCCACGCCCCAGGCGGCAGCTAGCAGCGGCTGCGGCCAGCCGGGTGACGGCAAGTTCAGACCTAGGCGACGAGCGCTGCTGCACTAGCACAGGCACATGCACAACCCGCAAACTCTCATCTCCCAGGCAGTCTGATTTTCCTATAAAGTGTAGGCTATAGCACTCTGAAACTCAGTGAATTGATAATACACATCCTAATTTGGATAGTAGATAATTGCCATAGGCACTGGGTAGCAAGGCTGATCAACGCAAAATCGATTTGGTTTTCAAGTGAAAAAAGAGATGTACGTTACAGATTAAGTTGAGGATGACTTTTCAGCAGCAGCTCATCATCCTTTCCTTGGGTTGATTTTTTTTTCGTGTTTCTTTAGATTGGTCCGCCCAGGCTTTTCTTTGTAGCTCCGCCACTGGTCCTAACTGCTCTAGTGGTCGAGGACGAACCAGTGATCTCTTTGCCAAGCTATATTAGCTTTCAAAACATCTTATATTATGAGACAGAGAGAGCATAAGTTAAAACCAAAAATTGTGATACCCATAGGCCATAGTCATCTTAATCTGTGGTCGATTGATCGGTCTCAGTGCATTGGAACAGAATCAGAGCATAGCACGGCTCTCCACTAAACAATGACAAGCGGGACGGCACCACCAGGACATGTTCGATTCTACACTTTCTTCCTCCACTCACCTTTAATTTTCCCTCTTGTTTTCTCTCGATATTTTTTTAGGCTGTTTTCTCTCGATATTTTGGTTGCAGAGCTGCATTTGGCATGAACAGTGAGCTACATTCAGAACAAGAAACACCCGGAAAATAAAACAAGAAAGCAGGCAAGGTAAAAAAAAATTACTAGTACAGGAACTATAGTATATTTCAATTCAGAATACAGGCATAGAAAATCCATGGGTGCACATGCAAGACGAGGAGTTTCAGTGCAGTTTCTCTGAAGAAAAATAAAGGAAAGAAATTTGGAGCTACTTCGTGCGTGGCAGCCACGAGCTGTCCATCTCGGCCACTACGTACATCGATCGCCTGCGCGCGAGGGACCCGCCAAGGACGACCACTCGAGCAGCTAGGACCTCGTATCTACTTGTGATTCAGAGAGAGCAGAGAGATCACTGGTTGGAGCGTTCAGAA